GTTCCAGGGACTGGAACTATAAGCGACGCGATATGTAATTCGAATTTTAACGCAGATGCACATAACTAAATGTGAATATTTAATGTTTTTAGTTTGAAATGAACAGTCGGTAACATTCGTTGATAATTTTAATGATATTCAAGTGTTAAAAATAAATTCACTAGATGTCGCGTCTTTAATACCGAGAAATCAAAAATGGCTACCAACAGTCTGTATGTAAACAATATTCTCACAATCAGTACATTAATGAGATTCCTTATACTTTACTGACACAGCAATTGAAAATTTTTGTTTTTAAAAATATATTTAACAGCGAATGCATAAATGATTATTATAACATCAATTAAAAATTATATTTGTGACTTCTACTGCCATTTCAGATTTTTCTACACTTCTGTCATTTAAAGAATGTGTTTATTTACTTTTTAATGTGTGAGTAATTATATAAATTATAAAGTGCTAAAATTTTGTTTACAACAGAAAAAAATATTGAAAAGTATCTGTTACAAAGGGGAGAAATTTATTTTTTTTGTTTAAAGTGACTTCCTATAAAGAGTCTAAATTGTAAAAACTAGCATTTTTAATTATAAAATTTTTTACAAGAGACTATCCAAACAAACAAAGAATTTTCTTTCTGACATTTGTCAGTACCAGAAACTTACGCATCTTTCTTTAGGCCACCGTGAGCATCTCAAAAATTAGATTTTCTACTGTTTATCGCGTAAATGAACATATATTTAGCAATATAGATGAAAGTGTTTAATATTAATTAGCTTACAAAAAACAATTGTTCTTTTTCAGTTTTCTAGATTGCAGTTTATCTTTTCCAGAATTCTGTGCTTCTGTGTAGTTTTCATGTTTTATCTTCTTTAATATTTAGTATTTACAATAAAAAATAATATGTAAAAGAAGAAACGATATTTGAAATTCTTTCAATCAGTATATGTTCTAAGAGAAGACAAATTATAGTTACGATTCATATCTTAATGTTGACTTGGACTTACAATTTACAGTAAAATCTTCAGACTTTTAACGAAAATTTGTTTTATGATAAGATTTTTTATATGAATTTGAGTAAATGCACCAATTACGGCGCGATTTTGGTTTAGCCGTCTTTGTAGTAGGCTGACTCGTTATCCAGAAATTTGACTGTTTGTTGCCCTGGAACTTTGGCTTCTTTGTTAAGCTTCTTTTATTTGTCCTCGTTGATCGAGCTGTCAATTTAACGAAATGACATTTATCCGAATTGCCATTTCAGGGCTCGAACAAGTGAAAGTATTTAAAAATACGGACTTTACGGACCAAAAATGAAAAATTACGGACCAATTACTCGGAGTGATCGATTTCTTCAAGTTTTATAATAATTAAAGATGACCGAGTGATGAAATCATTACCAATTCAATTATTATTTTCAAGAAATTTTTACAAAATTTCAATTATTCGTAAATTCTCCAATTAAATAAATATTAGAAAATAAAAAATTAAAATAATATTTAAAAAATTCAATTAAACTTTTTCAAAAAAATGAATTTCAAAATTTAATTATTTTTAAAAATTCACGCTATATTGATTTTAATATTCAATTATTATCTAAAATTTTAACTGAAATTAATTTTTAAATCAATTTCTTTAGAAAATTATACTAGAATTTAATTATTTACATACAAAAATAAATAATTTATTGAATAATTAAATGTTTCTCAAAATTCAATTCCCATAAAGTATCGTTATCAACAAATTTTCAAATAATTGAATTCTATCAACGAGTTTTAATAACGGCATTAAACATTAAAGCAAATTGTTTTGAAAAACGAATAACTTTTATCCATTTATTAATATATTTAAGAAGTTATCAATTTAGTTTTATCCATTTAGTTAGATTTTGTTTATATTTTAGGTAATAATAGTTGATTATCTAACAATTAAATGTGCAATATTAAAGAAAAAAATCCAAAATTTGCCCGGAAAAATAGTCAAAAAAATTTTGATTTCATTTTTTCGGGCATAAGCACTCCTTCGATTTTTTTGTAACTATAATATTTGGATTCGTTGTCTTCTCCAGAATTTTTTGCAAAAAAAAATCCCTGGAGACTTTAAAACTAACCGAAATATCGAATTTTTTGTCTCGAGGTGCACAGATATCGATCTCGCGTAAACACGCCTGAGATGTGCACCAAACGTTCTTAAGAGTAAATTTTCGCATTCTAATATTTCTTTGTTAATCTTTAGTAAGAAAGGAAGGTTTGAAAATCAAGTTTTGCAATTATAAATTTGTTTTTAAACAATTTTGAATCTCAAAATGTGTATGTAATATATAAGGGGCAAATTTTCTCAAGTGTACCAATGTCAAAATTGCAAGTTGTTAGATCGGGCTAATATTTTCACAGTATTTAGAACTATGAATGAGTACTTAAAACCACCAAGTAATTATGAAATTTTATAAAAAATTGTAGGGGGGAAGGGGTTGAAGATTTTGGTTAAGTATAAACAGTGAGTTTTATAAAAATTCGTAGCTTTTATAATAAAGAAAAAAAATTGTGACCTATATGTTTTTGGTAGGTTTTTTTCTGCTCTTTCAAATGGTGAGAATTTTTTTTCCAAAATTCAAAATTTAACCCTTTTTTGAAAATTAAAAATTTTTTTTTAACTAACCTTCTCGGCTTAATATTTTTTGACATTTTCTAAAGTACATTTTTTTAATTTTTACATTTTTAATGTAAGAAGAGATGATTTTTTTTATCTGAATAATTTTGCTTCCTCATGAGGAAGCTTTGCATTGGTGACGATTTTCAATTTTTCAAAAGAAGGTTATATGGACTCATTTTCATCTAGAACATAATTATGTATATTCAATTCTGAGCAAATGTCCAGATGTGTGTGTGTGTATGTGTGTGTATGTCACAAAAATTGTGTACAAATTTTGATGGATTGTCCTAAAATTTTGCAGGTTTATTGCAGTCATTAAAACCTAAAATCTGACACAAGGATTTTCGAAAATATCTACAACATTTTTTTTATACAATTTTTTTAAAATTCAGAAAAAATTTTTTTTTGTATTTTTTGAAATAGTTTTTTTATTTGTTAACATTTTCATTAATTATTCTCAAAATTACATTCCTGACAAGAAAACGAATCGATTGATGTATACAAAGTATATATTTTATCAAAATTTATAAAATTAATAAATATTTTTCTTTTTCACAAAAATTCAAATTTTGTATTTTTTTCATAATTAATTTAATATTAATATTTTGAAATGATTATTCTATCATAAAAAAGAAGCAATTGGCAAATGAAAGTGTAAATTTCACCAAATATTTTTATAACAACTTATAAATGATTTATATAATTTTATTTTTAACAAATTTTCTGGACGAACCCTTTTGTACATAGTTTTTCAAAAGTTTGTAAAACCGCAAATTTTATATTTTGAGGAAGCTAAATGGTCATGAAATGAACAACTTGTTTTGTTATTTTATCATCAATATCAAGCGTGATACACGCCTAAGGTGTTGAATAATTTATTTAAACAATCGCTGCAAATAACTGGAATAAATTTTTTTAAAGTAGAATTATATAAACATTTATTTAGAAAAAAACTAACACTTTATCTTTATTTTTATAAATATTTATTTGTAAAACGTCAATTTAATCAGAATACTTCATATTGTAAAATATTTCAGTTTTTATTAATTAATTAATTAATCATTCAAAAACAAAAAAAACGTCATTTTTTTCGTTTTACATATTGAAAGTACACATCATAAGCTTTCTTTTGGTACAAGAAAAAAAGAGGGCTTTTTTTGAAAAAAAATTTTTAATTTTCAAAAAAAGGGTTAAATTTTGAATTAAAAAAAAAATTCTCACTATTTGAAAGAGCAGAAAAAAACCTACCAAAAACATATAGGTCATAATTTTTTTTCTTTATTATAAAAGCTACGAATTTTTATAAAACTCACTGTTTATACTTAACCAAAATCTTCAACCCCCTTCCCCCTACAATTTTTTATAAAATTTCATAATTACTTGGTGGTTTTAAGTACTCATTCATAGTTCTGAATACTGTGAAAATATTAGCCCGATCTAACAACTTGCAATTTTGACATTGGTACACTTGAGAAAATTTGCCCCTTATATATTACATAAACATTTTGACTTTTGAGATTCAAAATTGTTTAAAAACAAATTTATAATTGCAAAACTTGATTTTCAAATCTTCCTTTTTTACTAAAGATGAACAAAAAAATATTAGAATGCGAAAATTTACTCTTAAGAACGTTTGGTGCACATTTCAGGCGTGTTTACGCGAGATCGATATCTGTGCACCACGAGACAAAAAATTCGATATTTCGGTTAGTTTTAAAATCTCCAGGGATTTCTTTTTGCAAAAAATTCTGGAGAAGATAACGAATCCAAATATTATAGTTACAAAAAATCGGAGATGTGCTTATGCCCGAAAAAATGAAATCAAAATCTTTTTTGACTTTTTTTCCGGGCAAATTTTGGATTTTTTTCTTTAATATTGCACATTTAATTGTTAGATAATCAACTATTATTACCTAAAATATAAACAAAATCTAACTAAATGGATAAAAGTTATTCGTTTTTCAAAAAAAATGTGTTTTAATGTTTAATGCCCGGTAAAATCCACAATTTTGAAAATTTTTTAAAATCTATTTTCCCTAAAATCTTCTGTTATAAAACACTTCCTTTATACCAAGTTTCACAAAAATTGAAAGACCCATGACCAACTTTGAGTTTTTTGAGAAAATTTGACCCTAATGCAAATTAGTCTGCGTGGCTTTCTACGTTCTGTCGATTACACTGCAGCAGAGAACGTACTTCCAAAAGCAGCCTCACGGACCCAATTGACGGCGCTTGAACCATCGCAGTAAATAGTGGACACGCAGTGGATATAACGGATGATAAAAAAATATTTTATTTAAAAACGTTGTTTTTTATTGTTTTTATTTATGTTTTTGATGAAATTTAAAGATTATATTTCTATTTAACAACCGCGTAATAGAATTATTATTATTTAAAGATTATACTGTTTTATTATTTTAAACTATTTTTTATATCATTTTCGAAAATATTATTCTCTCCTTCCATTTTGTTTCTTCCACTCTTTCTAACGTGTTAATTGAAGAAAGAGAAAGAAAGAAAATTAGAGGGGAGAAGAGGTCGCCACCAGATGGCGTATTGCAGTCTAGCCGTTCCCTATAGTAGATTATAAATTTTCCAAACAAGCCACATAACAATGGCATAGAATGTGCCCAGAACAATTTGATGAACATAGTAAAGTCTGAAACATTCCAAACATGCAATCACTTTTTCTTAATGTGTCCTTTTTTCAAGTTTTTTTTGCTGCTAAAGCACTAGCAGTCAAAAGGTTGTAGAAATAAATTAAAATGGTGGGAACAACTGTGTACTGCGTGCGCAGCTGAGTAATAAGTTTAAAGCGAATTAGCTCAATTTTAAAAAAATCTTCCGTCTTATTAGATCCGTCATATTGAATTTTGCAAAGCTAACATCATATTCGTACTGTCTAAACCTGAATCAGTGAAATCTCGCTTATTTCCAGCTATAAGTACCACTGATTTCCATCAGCGTATATATGCTGATAAATCTGTGAAATTTCACTAGTCTCTCAGTGAAAAAATACGCTAACTGAAATCAGTGGTATAATAATCGATGATTCAAATTGAGAGAGTAATCAGCGACTCTGAAAACTCCTAAATATCAAGTTCCAATAGAATTTCATTAGCTCTTTTATTTTTGACCACAGTTGTTCCTGGCAATTTAGAAATAATTCTGCTACATGGTTTTTTTTCCTTTCTTTTTTCTATAGACAATCTATATATTTGAATAATTATGAAGTCATTTTTTTAGAGTGGAAAATTAAGGATTTACCTCCTGATTCTACATATAGCGTTTTTCAATCCTTCTTCATCAAATTCGGTTTTGAAAATAAACTTACTACATCCTTTACCATAAATTCGTAGCATTTCATCCCAAGTAAATGATGTGATGTCAAAATTAAATAGTTTCTTATCATTGTCAGAGAGTTTTTTCCACAACGATTTAATATTGTCAGTATCAAATATCCATTCTCCGCATGAATAAAATCCTATGGCCAATACCAATTTTGATCCTTTTTTAAAAACTTTGTGTAACCTTAAATAGAAATGTGTTATTCTTTTTTTTGTAAAAAAAATGATTAGTGCCTAATTTGCTTTCATCGCATCCTTTAAATTTGTAGTTAGTATTATGGACTATTGTTATGATGTTGCTAAAATTCATGAAAAGTCCTTTCTGCCTGAATAATTTTTTATATTTTTGACTCTCAACGTCGACGCTAACTTTAGGGATTTTTATCATAAAAAAGTATACAATTTTTGCGTCGTTTTTACTTACACAGGTTTTCTTCCTAGTATTCTTAAAACTACATCTCCTAAAATGGCAGGAATGAAGTGCAATATGTAGTGGAGAATAAGGAATAAGTAGAGGGAATCAGTCATAATTGAATCTGGATAGTAGTATGGATTGTTGAATGGATTTGTATAACGTTGAGAACGAAGATAACTCCGAAAATAATACCAAGTCGCTGGGTTGTCTCTTCCCGAAACGTAGTTATATACTTGCACACTCTTTTGTTCGCTAAAAAAAGGTAATTTTTGTTTAATTTCATAATAAATAAATAGAAATAAAATTTACGATAGTGGAAATGTGTATAAATTTCTAACAATTTCAAAGTTATTTGCAAATAATAACGTTCTTTCTGGTACTAAATTTTTTTGAAATAAAACATCTATTTACAATTAAATTTTTAAATCGAAAATTTTTAAAAATTATTTTTGTAACAACTTTTTGTATCAATTCTATTTTTATTCATAAATATCAAATTTGGGGATATAAACACACAAGAAAAAAAGTATAAATTTTAATCTGATTTTGGGGTAAAAATTCCCTGCAACAAATTTTCCCCTAAGTGAGGGGGCCACTGTCTATTTGAATTAGCATTGGTTTAAATTCCCTGCAACAAAATTTATACCATTTCTTTTCTATGCATACTTTTTTTTACTAGATGATGTATCCCACGCAGAAGCAATTAGACAATTACAAACCAAATCAATTGGTACTACTTCCATATTAACACTTCCTTTTGCATAGATCACTCGAATAAGACCTAAACAAATTCCTATTAAAGCCTGTGTTACTCCTTGGTTTTCATCCAGCCATCCCTCTAAAGGTTCGTTTAGTGCAGCTATAGCTGAAAAAAAATATCCACATCTCTCATTCTATATTTAATAATTACTGATATTACACTTAATGTTAACATAATCATTTATTTTCAAAACTTAAATTAAGTTACCAATTGAAAATCTGTAAATGGAAACTGGAAGTTCTTTTGCACTCTTACTGACAACTTCTTCGGCAATTGATTTTGTGAAGCAATATGTGTTTGGGAACTTGCCGAGAACTCTAAAAGTTAATTTTCATATTTATATAAATGACCTTCTTTTCAATATCGAATGCTACGTATTTTCATTTTCGGTTAATTGAAAAAATTTTAAAAGCAAAAAATAAAGCCACAAAAAGAAACACTTTAAATGTAATAAAATTTCAGAGTTAATTTTAAAATATTTATTTTTGTGCGCACAATTTGGTGAATTTGAGTTCTTCTTTTCTGGACATATTTAATTCGTCCATGGCACCGACAAGTTTTGTTAATTTTTCATGTGACAGTGGAGCTGGATAAACTTTTTCTTCAATATGCTTATAAATGCAATTACTAAATGCTGTTGATACATAAACGAAAGCCTGTATTTAAAAGAAATTTTCTTGAATAATTTTATGAAAACCAATTTATTTATAGAAGATAATTGACAATTAAATTATTATTATTATTATTATTATTATTTATAAATTATTACCTTTAAATTTTTGCATTCTTCACAAATGTTAATCATAGTTTTAACACTATCAACATTTATTTTAAGTGCAGTTTTCAATGGTTCATTAAATCTTGTTGTTGCTGCAACATGAAATACAATTGAAACCTACAAATGAAATTAAAAACTTTTTACTAATACTTATAAACTCAATTAATAGTTTCGTATTTGATTTAAAGTCTACTACTGTAAACTGCTGTTTATGATAAAAAATTTGAATTTTGTTCCGTTTAATTAAAATAAATTTACAATGTCAATTGATTTACCTCTTTCTTTAGTAACTCCAAATCTGTTTCAGAAAGATTAAAATTAGGTTTTTCTATATCACCAGACATAGCTACAATTTTTTTCTCAAAATTTGGATCTGTTGCTCTTAGAGGTTCAAATATCTGTTCAAAAAGTTTTGATAACGAATTAAACTCATTTGTGATTTTATTATTAAATTATTTTTATATTTATAATAATTACTAACAGTCACATTGGAAAAAATTTATGTATTTGTCAATTGTCAAATGAATATATTCACTTGAATAACATCATTTTCATATAAAATCTTCAATAGAATCAAATAAATTGTATTTGAATTAAATTATTTGAACCATTTAATTGACTTAACCCGTTGCCTGTCGCTGAATTCGAATTTGACGTTTATTTTTAAAAATACAAATCCGCCATTTTGAATTTTTTTATGACGTATTTGAATTCAGCGACCTCAGAAACCCTTGCATACTAATTTTTATAAATATCTGTTAAAAATTGAAAAACTTTGTCCGACATATTGGATCCGCCATTTTGAATTTTTTTTGACGTCATATTTTAATTCAGCGACCCCAAAAACCCTTGTATACTAAGTTTCATGAAAATTCATCGACCAGATTTTGCTGGACATTTTGGGCCACTTATATAAATATTTTGTCAAACAGGAAAGGGGTTAAATACAAGTTAGGTGATACAAATAAATATTTTTGATAATAGACAAGTAATCATTTATGCAAATTAAATAAATTTTTTTAGTGAATACATATATAGGAGGTTTTTGATATTGAAATAACTTACCTGTGAATTAGTAATTTCTTTGAGACGATCTCGAAATTGCTTTCCTTTTTTTTCTCTCACTAAAATATAAACAGTTTTTATCCTTGGACACGAACGAAGCAGTTTTTCAATAAGAATTTTCCCCACAAATCCCGTACCACCTAGATTTTTGAATTAAAATTAGGAAGTTAACATTTTTTCAGTTTAAGTTAATTTAAAATGAAATTAAACTTGATACTGATACCCACATGTATCATAATCGAATGGATCTATTTTTTAAAATTGTAGGTATAGAATTTATATTTATGACATTTAACATTTACAAAATTATACTAATTACCTGTGATAAATATACTTTGGTCAGTGTAAAATTGCTGAATTTCAGTCATGATGAAAGATTTGTTACAAGTTTGTACTTAAATTATAAATTTCTCTGAACTATACACAAAATTGTGTAACTTAAGGCCGTAAAGCGTTTTTCAATTGAAGCGAATGAAACAGTGTTTGCACTTGGAAAAATTTAATTTCTCAGTGGGAATGAATGCATAATTCATAGTTTTATTTCTTTGTTAATGTAGAATATAATTACCATGTTTGTAACTACATCTGTCATAGTTAAAGTTGATAAATGTCAAGTTAAAAATACTTATGCTTTTTAAATTTTCCATGTAGAAACTGAAACGTAGTTGTCATCCGGTCCTGATCAGGTTAAATAGGGCCTTGAATTGGAAGTGAAAAACTTTTTCAGATCATATCCTAAAGTGGTGTTTAAAAAAAAGGCCAAATCAGGTTGTGATCAGGGCTTAACTTATAATAAATTAGGTTATTTTATCTGCTGTTAAAATATATTTCTATCATTTACGTTATGATGTGAAAATGGAAGATTAATTTCAATATAGAGTAGAACGGGGTGAAAAAGCCATTTGACTTTTATTTAAAAACTGTTAAACAGATTTATCATCCATTTAGAATATAAATACTATTAGGTAATACGCAACTTTTGATTCTAGTTTGGATGTTGTACCTATAGTAATATAGTTTATATTGTAATTTTAATTTTTGAGTTGCTCTGCGTATAATATTTCGATAAACTTTTCGAACACATTACAACCTTTTAAAGTCAACGGGTAATAAAAGTAAATCTTTGTACATAAAGAGAAAACTATACTCAAAACGTATACAATGTTAATTTTTGGAAATTGAACTGAATTTAAAATTTATTCTAGCTTTTAGAAAAACTGGTCTTGGGGGTGAAAAAGTCAAGGACAAAAATCCATTGAATATTATATGAAATTCATTTGTTTCTTACTCAAACTAACCTTCTAATTTTACAAAATTTTCGCGAGTTTACTTAATAAAATTAATTAATTAATTTTACAAAAAAGTACAAAAACTTGGTAGTGCAAATCGAAAACATGTAAACTTAACATAATATTCAATTTTCTTTCCTGAAAGCTCTTTCAAATTTATTAAAATATTTTTAAAATAAGATTATTTGTCATATAAATAAATGAAAACTATAAAAATACCAAAATTAATAACATATTTTGCTTAATAAACTTAAACTTTCAATGCCAATTGGAAAGAGGAAAAAATTTTTAATTCAGATTTTATAGCGTCAAATGTAAAATGTGTCTTTTTCACCCCGTTCTACTCTACAGTAATAAACTAAGGAAGTAAAATACAGAATTCTCCTGAATTTATTTATTTATACCTTTATTTAATAATACATTTTAAAAATATAAATATTATGTAAATATAATAAGATAAATAAGAATATTTAAATAGATAATAATTAAATAAATGATTCTATGAAAATATTGAAATTTTTTACGTTTTTAAATTATAATTAATTGTATTTGAAGTATATTTTCGAAATACAATATTATGATTCCATATACACTCTTGTTTTACGGACGAAAAAGTGCCTGACAAGTCAAAGTGAAATTTCTTTAATGGTGTTCAAAAATCCGAAAGAGAGAAATGCTTGTCCTTTTTATCGTGATTACTACTGTTTTTCTTTGATACTGTTTTTTTCTCCTCTTTGAGTTAGAAGATAATTGGAAGATGATTATCGATTACTGTTAGTATCAAATAAAGCATAAAAATTTTGAAATTTTTTAAGTAAATTGGTATGTTATGTTAAAAAGAATATAAATAAATACCTACATATGAAAATAATTACCTGACAATTATAAATAAAACTTTGAGACTAACGATCACTTTGAGTCAAATTGGAAATAAGAATAAAAGATGTTTTTTGACGTTTCGACAATACGGTTGTCTTCTTTAGAAAATATAATTTTTTAAATAATAAAAATGACCCACTTACATTTTACAAGTTTTTATTTTTCAATTTGGTTTTTTATCATAAATAATGGATTTTTTTATTTGCACTATTATATAGACGTAAACAAAAACAAGTAAAAAACTAGTTGAACAGTTGTTAAATGTTAATAACAAAACTATTGAAAATTCATAATTAGTTAAAATATGTACTAATTTCAGAAAAAATGCAATTTTTACTTATTGTTACAAAGCAGAAATAAATTAATTAATTGGGCTTTTGAGATGGCCCTTTTATTTCAAATTTGGGGAGGCACCAAGCTGCCAAGGTCTAAAAGACCTTGTTTAATTATGCGGGATCGTCTTTCCACTTTTAAAAGTTACCGGGATAGCTTTGTTTTAACTCTGATAAATAATTATTTCAATTTACTTTATTTATTTCAGGAGTTTTAAAATAAATAAAATCAGATTTGTCATTCACATTAAAATTTTATTTTAAAAAGATTTTAAGAAATTTACAAACTTGCACATGTTTGAAAGAGAATTAAAGTTGAAAGTAACATTAAATCATTGAAACGATACAGACTTACCGCTAAAATCCTTAATCCTACCGACAGGGCATAATTTCTCTTATACGGCGCAGGTACTACGCGTACGGACTGGCCGGTCGAGAAACAGGGATCCTCCATCGGGCAAAACACAAGTTAAATGTCGAAAATTAAGTCGTCTGTGCGACTTATTTTTATTTACGCGAACTCGCGAATTTTGTGGGGCCACTGCATTGAGACGGCGCAGGTACTACACATACGGACTGGCCGGTTATGAAACTCAAAACAGCTCTCACTGGACTCCGCCGGTTAGAAGATTCTATTAAATTTTTCGTCTGCCTTTCGCGTTGTACTTGATATGTTATACGCGGGGGTCCAACGCGCAGACGGGCATAGTCGCGGCATTTCCTACTTTCTTGCGATCAACAGATCTGTCAGGCCGCAGCCAGGACAGGTGTTGATCGCTTGAAGAGGAAAATTGTACAGCAGCGATGGAAATTTTGCAACAAGCCTCTACTCTTTGTCCTGATGTCAAAGTGGGGTAAATTTGTCAACTAAGGATTTTTAGAATTAGAAGTAGGGAAATTCTTCAGGCCCATTGGACTTTGCATTATGCTACTGACGTTTCTAATTGCATGCAGTTTTCGTGAGAACGGAAACGGCGTTGTTAATTTGATACTTATCAGAAACAATTTTCATAACTAAATATATAAATTATAATTATATTGTAAAGAAAGAATTTTTTATTTATAATTATAATTTATTTATAGTTATAAGTGTCTAATATAAGTTGTATAAGTAACGTTATATTGGTCCTACATTTTACAAGTTACTAGTATATGTATTTTGCTTTCATAATTATACATATACACATATACATGCAACTTACAGTCCTCCGGCATTTTATTGTTAACAATAAGTTACAATAAAATGTTTAGCTATTATCAAATTATTTTCTGTAAATTTGGAATAGTGCATAAAACGAATAAAATATATACGCTTCATAAAGCGTTGAGTCAGCCTCCAAATGCATGTGCATTTGTTATGATATTCTAGTCCCTAAGTTTGTAGGCCCCAAGGGGAAAAAGGAAGGAGAGACAAGGAAAGACAATAGGAGAGACAAGGCAATGAGCAGAGGCATGTGTAGCATGCTTGTGTGTGTGCCCGTAACGCGAAGAACTCAAGGGTGTGGTCGTGTTAGATCTTGTAGTTAGCGGAATCAGTGGATGTGCACGTATACACCTAGGTCGTCTCAATGCATATGTGTGAAATGCATTACCTTTAATTATTTTCAAATAGAGTCTTCTTTTATTATATAAAATTTTAAGTATTAATAATGTTTATAAATTTATGCATATAATTTATAAACAATATTATAAAATATATAGGAATTTATGTTTTATAAATTCTGTCCTATCTTTTGTAGCTTTATTAAAAAGAAAAATAATAATAAAATAGTACCTGTTAAGTACCTTGTACGTAACAATTATAGAGTAAGAAAATCAAAGTTGCAAATTTTTGTTTATTTTTAGACCATGCACTACTACTTGATAAAGTTAATTTCAGAATTTCCCGTTATATTATTTTTTAAATAAATTATTTTTAATTCTTATAAAAAGTAAAAAAAAAATTTTCTTTACAAAATTCAATAGAAATATAGAACAATATTTAAAAACAATAAATGGGGTTTCTATTTTAATAACTGAACTAAAATATTAATTAAAATTCTTAAATTTAAAAATGTCGAAACCAATATGGCGGACGAATTTTTTAAATTTGTTTGAAGCTCCGTATTCGTTTTCGGAGTCGCTAAATACGAATTAGATCTCAGATTTTAAAAATTCAAAATGGCAGATTCAATATGGTGGACGAGTTTTATAAAAAATTGTTAAAACAAACAAAACCACGTCCACATTGTTGGTTCTGGAAAGCGCTAAGAGCGAGAAAATATTTGTTATCTAACATGCACAATTTCTGGCAGGAGTCTTCTACTTAAAAGCAACAGTCTTCCCCGTCAAATGAGGCCTCAAGATATGTAGATTAGAAATGTAAAGTGGAATTGAAGAAGCTGAAAGATCTGACGGATTGAAAGAAATGGACAATAGAGTCACGCCTTTCAACTTTAGAAATAATAGTGAGAAAATTGTCACTGAATAAAAGGGATAGAGAAAAAACAGAAGGGAAAGAAAATGGGAAATGGAAAGAGAGAAGTGGCTCAGGCAAATAAGGAAAGGGATCGTTAATAACTTGAAGGTGATGGAGATAGAAGGCGAAAATGGCACCGTTTTTAATTTATTTGCCTCACATTTTTTTCGTTCAGTACTGATAATAACAAAATTTTTTCAAATAAATAAATTTCTTTGAATATCTTTAAGACAATGATAACTCTCTAATGTTTGTATAACATTTAACGGTATTCAGAGTGTTTTAATTTTGACAATATGAAGAAAGCTTTTTAATCTTTCAATTTAAGGTATTGTAAAAAAATGTCAACTTAATTCGTTTAGAAAAATTAAAAATTATTTCAAAAGTAGTAAATATCTTTAATGATTATTAGCTGTGGATTTTTAGAAAGTAGAATAAATAAGAATTACAAAAAGATTTACAACACTTTTTAAATTAAACTTTGAAAAGCTTTGTAGTATTATACTCTTTTAAATAGGAAAACAAATATTGCAGAATTCTAGATTTTTAGGAAATTCCAGGGCTTTATACACCCTAGGTACAAAGATTTTCTGT